ACAGTGATGATATTTAACAAAGCATTACTGCAAAAAGTAAGACATTTTGACTTTTTTGTCACTTGCTTCATTCTCAGCTTGTGACCTTACCATTCTGCTTGTTATTATATTAGATCTTACTTTAGGGAATAAAAGAAGAGAGATGAAACATTCTGAAGGTTGACCAGGCTTAATGAAACATGTGGTGCTTTATTCTCTGTGAGAATAACAAACCCACCAACCAGACATTAAAAAACAACTTTGTAAAATAAATACAGTGGAGATTTCTGCCAAGGGCATAGGTTAGGACTCGGAACAAGCATTAGTTATCTATAAGAAGGATCAAACTATAACTATTCTAGTTTTGTCATATATTCTTTATTTCCATTATAATCACAATTAATGAAGTGTATTGACTATGTACTAGTGGAAGAAGAATATGAGCTAAATGAAAGCATACTGAATTAAGCATTCTTTTTTAATACATATTAAGATACATAAATATAAATTAGAAATAAAAGGACCTAATTCTCATCATAGTCAGGCATCTTTTACACTGACTTTCAGCTTTAACTCCTCCTCATATTCAGTTCTGAGTTTGAAAGCTTCTTATCATTTCTGACTTTTCAGAAATCCTCTGATCAATAGCCACCCACTTTCCTCCAGCTGAGGGACAGAAGGTAAACAGAAAAAAACAAACCAAAACAAAACAATAAAGCCAACAAACCACCTAAAACCCCCTCAAACAAACAAACAAAAAAAACCAAAGTGAAAACTGTCAGCCAGATGGAACATTTGGATTTCTTATATACAGTCCTTCCCATTAACAATCAACACAGTTGTAACAGACTAAACATGTCTTCCAAAGCAAATGTTAAATACAATTCCCTCTAGTTAGAATCAATAGAAGTCTTGCCCACATATGTTAGAGCTCTCAATGCCCTACTGTCTCCATAAAACAGTTAAATTTACCTTTTCTCTATTTACTCAGAAAGAATTTACTTCTTAGTAAGAAATTATGTGAAGAAGAATTTAGTTTCTTAAGTCTTGTGTTCCCACATCTACACTTTCCTTCTACTTCAGTATATCTGAATATGCAACAAATACCTGGCTCAGAGGTGCTGTCACTTAAAATGGTGTGTGCTCAAGCCTTGTTTATTGTGGTATGACCTGATCTTGTTTAATAGCTAAATTTGACTTGTTGGGTATGGCTGATAATGAACTGTTCCTAACAATTGCTGTTACTTTTTTTTCCTTGTGAGGCACAGAGAAAGGTAATGGCATTACATACATCACAGCATATGCCTCTCAATGCTGTTCAACAGCTGTCATTTTGAATGATCTTCTGAAACAGAAATGAGCTGGCTCAGTATCATTCACTGGATGCCATCTGTTGTTCACACCATAAGTACCAACTAGTAAGGTCCAAAATGCATGACTTCTCTTATCGTTGCATTTGAAACTGCCATTACCATCTGAAGCATTCTGTGTCCAGTCATGTGAATTGGCAAAGGGATAAATCACATGGGAGAAGGGACAGTGAATGGGAGAAGGGACAGTGAATGACTGAAGATGCTCACCCCTGTCATGATCAAACCCTGTAAGTGGATTTTGCAAGGAACCTCAGTAAAGGTAAACGTCAGGTTAACACAGAATTTAATCCCAGGTCAATACAGACCTCAGCTTTCCATGACTGTTCTTCACAGATTTCTGTGTCTCTTTTATTTTCAGTACTTCAAATGCCTTTGTACACACTCATTCTTTGAACCCTTTCTTCCTTCAGCCAGCAGGGGGGAGAAGATGGATCTGTTAAGCAAAGGGTAGTGTCTGCATTTGGAAGTGGGTGACAAGCAGCTGTAAAGAAGCTGATAAAAAATTTACTCTGGAAACCCAGCATGGGAGGGACTGAAATTATATCCCCTTTCCTAATTAAAACTGTGATAAAATGAAAACATGCTTTAAATCGCTACAATACAAACAGGGATATTAAAAACCCCCTCCCTTTAAACAAACATTTAATATTACTGAGGGATAGCTAAAATATAAAACCAGCTGCAAAACCAGCTCTCCGGATTTTCCATCTTGGTGACTCTGGCATACACCTGATCCTAGATCTTTGGGGTGATACCACATTTCCTTATAAAATATTTATACAGCACAGTGTCTTAGCCTCCTAAGTCTGTGTAACAGCCTGCCTGGCCTTACAGGTAAGTACAATGGCTAATATGAAGAGCCATAATTTTCTCTCTTGGGATCTCTTTCCAAATGTGTTTGAGCAAAATATATTTTCAAACATTTTCCTTTATATTTTAAATATCATCATCATAAATAACAATGGATAGACCAAAGTGAAGTATCCACTAGGCGATTCCAACATATATGTTCATGGATCTTCTCTAGACTTTTCTGTGATGTAACTCAGAAGATCTACATTATGTCAAAGAGTATCTTCTCCTTCAGTGTTATTATTACTAAAAATAGCAATGCTTTTTGGAATCACAGATTAAGGTAGTGCTTTGAAAAGAAAATAAACACATGGTTCCTACACAATGGAGCCTATAGCCTAGCTCAGAAAAGGTGTCCCTGTGGCCTAGATGACATAACGCAAAGAGAAGACAGGCCTCAAAGCAAGCTCTTCAGATAAGTACTAAAATGCAAATTATGATCCCTTTTACCTGTTTCTAGGGGGCATATGAGGATCTTTATTCCCTTTTTTCAGCCAAACCTGTCTGTGTTTGAAAGAGAAGTCTCTACTGAAAAGACACAGGTGACAAATGTATTTTGAAAAAGAATTGGAAGAAAGCAAAAATGTACAAAGGAGAAGATAGTTGCAAGAACAAGACAAAAGGCACAGTATGTTGCGAAGACCCTAGTAAAGAGTGTGGAGGACAACACAATTATTGGGGAAAGTGTTAGACTAAAGGGTTAATATGAGATGATGAACCAGGTGAGATAACAGTGGAACTGTTCAGTGAGGAAGAGCTTGGCTAGAGCAAACTGAAGCTGGGAAACTCGAGCTATGGGCTGGTGAGGTGTGGTGGGTTGACCCTGGCTGGAAGCCAGGTGCCCACAACAGCCACTCTATCATTCCCCCTCCTCAACTAGACAGAGGAGAGAAAATATAATGAAAGGCTCATGGCTTGAGATAAGAACAGGGAGAGATCACTCACCAATTACCATTATGGGCAAAACAGACTCAACTTGGGGAAATTAGTTAATTTATTACCAGTCAAATCAGAGTAGGATAATGAGAAATAAAACCAAATCTTAAAACCAACTTCGCCCCATCCCACCCATCTTCGCAGGCTTAACTTCACTCCTCACTTTCTCTACCTCTGCACCCACAGAGGTGCAGGAGGACAGGGAATGAGAGTTGTGGTCAGTTCATCACACGTCTCTGCTGCTCCTTCCTCCTCAGGGGGAGGACTCCTCATGCTCTTCCCCTGCTCCCCTGTGGGGTCCCACCCACGGGAGACAGTCTTCCATGAACTTCTCCAACATGAGTCCTTCCCACAGGCTGCAGTTCTTCATGAACTGCTGCGGCGTGGGTCCATTTCATGGGGTGCAGTCCTTCAGAAGCAGACTGCTCCAGGGTGGGTCCCCCATAGGGTCACAAGTCCTGCCAGCAAACCTGCTCCAGCAGGGGCTCCGCCCTCCCCACAGGTCCTGCCAGGAGCCTGTTCCAGCATGGGCTTCCCATGGGGTCACAGCCTCCTTTGGGCACATCCCCCTGCTCCAGCGTGGGGTCCTCCCCGGGCTGCAGGTGAATATCTGCTCCACCATGGACCTCCATGGGCTGCAGGGGCACAGCTGCCTCACCATGTTCTTCATCGTGGTCTGCAGGGGAATCTCTGCTCTGGTGCCTGGAGCACCTCCTCCCCCTCCTTCTTCACTGACCTTGGTGTCTGCAGCATAATTCCTCTCACATATTCTCACTCCTCTCTCTGGCTGCAATTGCTGCTGTGCAGCAACATTTTCCCCTTCTTAAATACGTTATCCCAGAGGCGCTACCACCATTGCTGATGGGCTCGGCCTTGGCCAGCAGCAGGTCCATCTTGGAGCCAGCTGGCATTGGCTCTATTGGCCATAGGGGAAGCTTTTAGGAGCATCTCACAGAAGTCACTCCTATAGCCCCCCGGCTACCAAAACCTTGGCAGGCAAACCCAATACATGAGGTAAGCTGTCCAGTTACAAGAGAGAACACAGGAAGCATCCTCTCCAAAGACAGTTATGGGGTGGGGCTACACTACAAAACACTGGTGAAACTGCTGCTTCTGTAGACATGCATACCCCATTATAGGCAATATATTTAGCTAGTAACTGCAACAGCAGGGGTTCAACCACTGAACAATGCTGTCCAGGAGGCACTAGGCTATTATTTGTATTTAAGAAGGTTTAGGTAACCTGAGGTTTGTGTAGACACTGTGCTAACACCAGATAGAGTGTACAACTACCTTGTATTATTGGCATGTAATAAGTCAATTGGGTGGTTTTGAATGATTCATCACGCGCAACCAAACATTAAATCTTATTGCCACTGGTACTAAAGGTAATCCCCCATTAATTTCAGAAACACAAGGTTTTCACCTGTGGGACTTCAGAATGTCAGTTTTCTGTCTTTAGCCCACACTAAAGAAAATATGATTAAAAACAATTTTATGGTAATTTCAGAAATAATCTGTACATCTTTCATAAGTAATTTATCTTCTTGAGGAAGAGGAGAGTACAGAGTAAAAAAAGTACATGGTCTCTATGAGGACAGGAATTTCTATTTTTTATTTATTTATAAGTTTTCTTACCTCATTTTGTCTTAAAATTCACTCTTTTTTTCCTCATGAAATGTAAAACTGTTGTGTAGTATTGCTGTAAATGTATTACATTATCAACCACAAAGTCACTTGAGATTACTTCATTTTCATTCTGGCTTTGATCCCTATATAGTTGGTATCAAAATATTCTGTGGGCTTATTGAATGAAAGGTACTTTATAAATGCAAGGTATCTGTAAGGCATATTTAATTTTGCATTATCTGCAGTAATAAAACATTTTTCATTTCATTGTATTTGGCAGAACCACTGTAGCCTTTTGGGAGTCTTCCTTATTTCTTAGGAGTGTATTAATATTAATACTGACAATTCTGAAGACTAACACACATATATGTATGTGTATATATATGCTTTTGTACAGGTAACAAGTTCTGGGTTTTCAAGGACACTACTCTCCAGCCAGGTTATCCTCATGATTTGATAACACTTGGAAGCGGAATTCCTTCCCATGGCATTGATTCAGCAATTTGGTGGGAAGATGTTGGGAAAACCTACTTCTTCAAAGGAGATAGGTTGGTATAGGAATTCTGCAAGGAAGCAATTTGGTGGATATCAGCTAAGCTTGTTAATCTTTTCCTCTATTTCTCAAAAAAAGAAGTCAAGCCACTTGAACAGTTCATTTTCTGTGGATGAAATTAACCCCTCCTGCATAGGGGACCATACTGTTTTCATATTTCTTGTAACCTAAATTATATTTGTGTGAATATACTGAAATGGTATACGTATATCCAGTGGAAGAGTTATGTTTTAGAAGTCAAGAGGCAAGTCACAGTTGTGGCAAATTCAAACTTAAATATTCAAAGTAAGGTACTTATGTACACTCTTACCTGCTCCTTTTTATCCACATTTCTAAACCCTAGCACGTAAACAGGCAAGCCATGATCCAAAGCTTTTTAAGGTCAGTGAAAATTACTTCTCTTCTACTATTTAAAAATGAGGTAAGAAAGGGAAATGGCAGCTAAACCAGGAAGCTAGAGAACAATTTGAGCAGTTCCCTAGGAATTATTTTTAAATAAATCTTAAGTTCCCTTCAGAAGGGACACTTATTTTTATGATTAATAAAGAACAGAAAAAAATTGTAAAATCTGAGTTATTTTCCAGTCCTGAAAGAGACTTGCACTGGTCACTTAGTGTCTCTGTGTCTTCATTTCTCTCTCTGTAAAAGTAAGGGAAAGAATATTTGTCTGCTTTATAGAGATGTCAAGAGAACTCATTAATTTTTGAAACCCTGCAAGTTATCTCAGTGATGGATTTTACAGATTTTCAGGATGTTACTATGTTTGTTGATTGATGTATCACTGTGCAAATTCTGAGTCCTCAGAGACAAATTATTCTTTATTAATAATTGTGATGTTTGTATTAGTATTGTTAAAAGTATGATGACTGCTTTTGTTACTGTGCGGTATTTAGGATTCTGAGACACTAATAGTATTCATGGATCACTTAAGAAATTGATTTGATGCACATCATAGAATATGTTTAGCACACTACAGTTGATCATTTTTTAGCAGTACTGTAATATTGCACTACAGATTCCCACAACAAATTTTATTGTTAAAGTGCTTTTTTTTAAAAAAAAAAAATCTCCAACACTCATGATGAGGGAAGTAGATAACTAAGTAAAATTTTTATGGTGTTTGAAAACTAGGTATCATTTCAAGCAATCAGTTTCCACAGTGAAAAGGAAAGCCACCTAAATTATTTGCTTCCCATGGTTGAGTAGATTTTTGAAAAAAATGTAAGTTCATTTTCAGGTAATAATTTTCCACCTCTGCACTCCTGGGAAAGTATGTACAGTTGGAATCTTATGTGACCTGTACTTCCATTAGGCTTTTTTCAGCAGTGTCCTTTTATATTTTCACGAACAGACAGTTACTTACAGTCAGGACTTTCCTAAAACACTAGTGGTAATAACAGAAGACAAAAAGAACTATCAGAGAAAACATCTGTTGACAGAGAAGTTGCTACTTAGAGCTAACAAGCACAGTGAAACTCAGCAGGATATAAATGCAATACAGCATGTTAGAAGAAGATCAAACAACATGAGCATTGCAGAGATAACTGAACTGTTACAGGGTATTGACCACCAGTGGGAATAAACCTTTATACCACTAAGCTTCTCAATGTCTATTGTTTATATCACAATTTTTTTCTTAATGTAAAGTTAGAGTTGAATTCTTCTGTTAGTTTTAGTAGTAAGTATAAGTCTACTATAGGGCTGGATCTTTTCCTGAAGGAGGTATAACATAAATGTAGCTTCTCGGTGGCAGGAGGTAGGAATGAAAGGGAAACAAAAAGTTATGCCAGCGTCAGAATAACGAAGTATGTTCTTCCTTATGTAACTCAAGGATCTGTATACTTATTTTGTTTTAACAGTTGTCTGTAGTTAAGGAGCTCCAGGGCAGAATCTAGACAGAGTTAAATGTCCCAAAATGGTGGATGTACATTAAAAAGTTAGAGCAATAGAATACAAAGCATCAAATATTGGCTATAAAAAGAAAAAAAAAACCAAAACAAAACAACCCAAAAAACCCCCAAAACCCCAAAAGAGTAAGAAGATTTAAAAGTCCAAATAGTAAAAGGTATTGTAATACTTATACGTCTAAAGCAGCTCATGTATGGATTATCATTATTAATATTTGAAATGATCCATTTAAACACTAAAGATGATTCTTCCAAATAATTGTATGAAAAATAAAGAGGGGACAAAAGATGACTACAGAAAACATTTTGCCCTCTTTCATTCCTCTCCTGCCAGAACTGAGTAGTGTAGGACAAGATGATAGTAGGTTTGCTGCACTTCTTGACACATGGCCTTGTTTATGCCCCTGTCTGATGTGACTGGTTTTCATACTTTAGAGTTTAAATGAATATTTTTTTCTTCATAAAGCTTATTCATCCAATAGTTCAGAATATCATTAAGTAGGTAAGATTAGATACAGGAAAGAACATGTTTTAGCAAATATTTTCCAAATTCCCTTTTTCTAAAGCCATGAAATGCACTTTCATTTATTTTCCCTCTGTTACTTTATCAGTCTTTGAGATACAGTAACAAAATTTATATAGTTTGTAAAGCTCAGATCACTCAAATCATCATTGGGGAGTCTGCTTGTGAACATTTGGCATGCCAAGGAGAATCAGGACTAGGCTTTTCTTTACCTTGTAGACATGCTCATTATTCCAGCAGAGATTGCCAAGATAGTATCATGATCAGTTGTTCCCTCATAGGATTTTTCATCAATGCTGAAAAAACAACGGGTTTGGGACTTTTGAGTGTGCATTGTGTGTGTCCTAAAAGACTTGCTTTTTAATGACAACGTATATTTTTGAAAGTCTTATAGGACTATCTATTTCCATCATGCAGCCTAGTGGAAAAACACAGAGGTTAATAAAAGAAGGAGCTCAAAAAGGTGAAAAGGTTGGAAGAGAAAAAAGGAAAAAAAATGGAAGTATGGAAATAGGGTTCTGGGAAAGGGGGATAGAGGAAAATGTAAAATAGTTGATAAAGAAGAAATGCAGATAAAAATGGAGATTAGAAAATAGAATATTAAGCTCAGCAAGGAGTGAGAATAAACAAACAGAGAGAGAACAGGCAAATGTGAAAAGAGAAAATGCAAACTAAGGATGAAGAAACACAGAGCCAAAAGATGAGCAAAAACTGGTTGCAATAGTATCAATGTCAGAGCTTTGTTTACTACTACTACATGTTGTTTCTTTCTCCATGTAAACTCTGAAAGGTGTTACATTTCAAAAATAAAGAGCATTGCTTTGTTGGCTGGTTACTGATGCATATGTGACTAGATTAAGAAATCAGGCTATAAAAATAATTTATGCATAAGAAAGAAAAAATAAATACAAATGTTTTTTAATGTAAGTTGCCAACTCTTAACCCACTTGAAATCTGCTACCTTTTAATTTCATTGAAAGTTTAAAGCCAGAGAAATACCCCACAGGGAGAAATACAAAGGAGTTTAGACCTTTTTTTTAAAAAAAAAAATTAAGATGTGAATTGATTAGAAGCACCTTCACAGGGACAACACATAATCCACTTAGAGACTCTTTAATGTATCAGGAATGATCATAACAAGGATTTCTAAAAGCTGAAGTAAAATGAATTCAAATTAGAAAAAGGGTCACGTTTTCAGCAGTGACCAGATTATTAATGAAAGTGATATATTCTCAGGCTCTTGATGTCCTGAAATGGCAAGCGGCTACATTTTACATAATTTTTCACATGACTTAAACTGATTTGGGGAAAAAAAAATTCTCCAAGAAAACTATGCTTTAAATTGGTATGCTCTAAATTAGTGGAGCCAATCAAAATATGAAATGACCCCCCCAATTATTATATCAGAGTACACAGAGATACTACAAATACAGTATGTTAATTCTTAGAAACAGTTTATAATAGGATATACGCAGCAATTTAGCCAGCTGCATAAGGACAAAGAAATTATCAACATTATCTGTAAGTGTAAATAAAATCACAAGTGTAAATACTTCTTACATGTTCAGGTTGCCTAGAATTTGCATGCTGAAGCTTTTTAAGTTGGAGAAGGGCTGGCTGGAAAAAAGGCACAAAAGCAGGTTGAATTTTGTATTAAACTATCTATTTAATGATAATGAAATGAAAAGCTACTGTAATGCATACATATAAGGAGTTAAATTATGATTGCTGGGAGTATTTTAATCTGGATCTACTGTCATTTTCATGATTAAAATGTTATCTAAAACATGAATGTATCTTTTTTGCATATATTGCATCTGTCTGTGTCACTGTGCAGAAGTCCTAGGCGCCAGAATTGCTGTGATTATAAGTGAGATGCATGCTGATTTAGTTGTCAAAGTGCAAAAATCTTTTATCTTCTTTCTGCTTACAAGAAACGGTTGTCCAGTCAGCAAATAGATTTCTTTGTAATGTGGTAGTATGTTCAAAGAAAAGAAGTCCAGTATTCCTATTTGTGCCTAATGAATGTAGCAATTGTTAGAAGGAAAAAATTATGTAGTTACTCATCTGCTGTTTTATAAATGCTTTTTTTTTTTTTTTTTGTCCATTAAAAAAATTTCAGGTACTGGAGGTACAGTGAAGAAATGAGATCCATGGACCCTGGTTATCCCAAACCAATCACAATTTGGAAAGGTATCCCAGAATCTCCTCAGGGAGCCTTTGTCCACAAAGAAAATGGTATGCAAACACATTCCTGTTTTAATGATTAACTAACAGCCTTTATGTAAGATGGAGTAGTAGAGGGGTGATCGACTATTCAGGTTAAGTAGTGAAGGAATTCTTGATTTATGAACAGAATATTGCCTGCTATAGAACTTGCTGTTGTGAAAATGGCTGTTTGTTTGCATTTAACACAATGGAGAAGTGTCTTTCAAATTTAGTGTCATAAACCTTAATTTCCATTCTTTTTTTTCTTGTGTCTTAATTAACTTAATTTTTTTTTTGTTCTCTGCTGAATTATAATACCTCTTAAAACAAGCTTCCTAAACACAGTATATCTCTATTTGAATTGTCAAGGTGTTGGCTGTTTAAACAGCTTAGAAGGTATTACCTTCATTCTGAACAACTAGAAAAGGGAAGCTTTATCTAAGCAGAAATAACCCTAGGAATCTATGTAAATCAAAGATGTCATAAGCCCATAAGCAGAAATGCACATCACAGGGATGTTAGTATGAAGTGCTATTACCTGTATCAAAGTGCATCATCACCTAGAATCTCAGCTGGCCACACCCCCAGATGAATGAGAGCAGCCAAAATATCCTCCATCTATGAGAATTCAGTGCTACCCAGGGGCTGCTGGCAGGCTGCCAACAGAGCCTTCAGTTGCACAGAGTTTAGCTCCCTTTGACGGGAATAAAAATATGCATTTGCCATCACTTATCATTGTTGGAGAATTGTTGTATGGCATTTATGATTTATTTAGTAGTAGATTCTCAGTTTATTCTGTTTGCCTCACAGACAGCACATGTATATATTGCCATATTATTTTAATTTCCTTTTAATAAGCAGATAAAAAGGTTTCTTTCCTTGTATAAACCATTTCAGTCTCCTATTTCAACCTCTAACTTGATTAAGTAATTTACCATGGAAACGTTTGAGGTTTTTTTCAGAAATATGTTTAATTGCTTCCTTGCTCCGTCTCTGTTTTATCAGAAGCAGAAACCCACTCTGGATTCTGGCCTTTTTGGCTACGCTGGATTTTTTTTGTGTTGTTTTTATTTGTTTTGTTTTGTTTTTAACTGGAAAGTAGGTCAGTCAAGATGATATTCTGCATACATCCCACTCAACAACTGTTTATAAATGCACATATATGTGGAAATGGGCACAAACATTATGTATGCACAGACAAACATAATGGATATAACCTCTGCTTTCTTCCCTTCATTACTTTTTAAGCATATTTTTAAAGATTTACATCCAAAAGGAATTTAATATATATGTATGTATGTATGTATGGGTTTGGGTTTTTTTCTTACCTTGATTGCATTCTGCATAATGAGTTTTCTTTACCGTGCTCAGGTACGTGTGTCTCTCATGACAAATGAAAATTATCTTACAGTAACACCCAGACCAGTGGGTTTGAAAGTACTGCAGAGGCAGAACACTCATTCCTAAGGCAGGAAAGACTCTTGGTTACATCAAAGCCACTTCTCTTTTTTACCCCAGTGGCTTTGATAGTCTGTCTGACTCTTTGAATGAGGAGGGTGGTAAAACATGACATGAGATCGTGGAGGGGAAAGAGGGCATTCTTGGGCTTCTCAGAAAGCCTAAAAGGGCCCCAGGGTAGAAAGAGGGACTGAAAATGACAACATAAAGTTCCCAAGAAGACCACTAAGACATTTTCCCTGAAATCAAGAAAATAGACATCTTAAGAACCAGTTCACAACTCCACTGTTGTTTGTATGAGGAGAGAAAGAAACAAAAGCAGATGCAAATAAGAAGTACCACAGCTTAGCTGGAAAGAAGTTGATTGTGTTTTGCCTGAAACTATTTTCCTTTCTTTGGGCAGAAGCAGAGTTGACAAAGAAGTTTTACTATGTAGCTTCATAAGGGAATATCTGAAAGCATGTCTTCCAGTTAATTTATTTTGTTTTAAAGAATACTTTTTTCCTTTCTCTTGTCTTTCTGTTGTGTAAACCATGCAAATTAACACCTGCAGTAAGTCTGATCATAAAGGGGTTTCCTTCACTGTCCACAAAAATTTTGGGTAATCTTGCAGTAAGAGGCTTGGGAAAGATGAGAAAAAACAATTTCCTACTCATCACCCTGACTTGGTGTCCTAGAAGCTGGTAAGGTACAGGTAACATCTTTGAAACTCTCCCTTCTACTTCCCATATTGTGATTTAATTTCTAAACACTGTGGTAGAAATTCTCAGGAGGAGGTGAAGAAATTTCCTTTCTGTTGCTCCATGGAACCTGAGATGATACAAAGTTCTCCCGACTGGAGAAATCTTTCTTTCTGCCTTGAGAGCAGCATAGAAAATCTCACTTCCTAGCTAGAAATTCTGCTAAAGTGGATGGTGGGGCAATTTTTAGAGAGAAGAAAGAGAAAAGGTAGTCTACTTTATTAGGCCATTGAGGGGGTTTTTGCCTTGTGCTTACTACCACTCCTAATTTGAGTTTCTATTTGACACATTAGTGACTGCTAAGCCCTTCCATGCTGTTTGGGTCAGGCATTGTGCTCACTACTCTCAGCGACTAGCACCTAGAAAATTGTAAGGAGCAGCTCCCAAAGCAGGCTCAAGAAGTCAGGCAGGTTTAGATGAAATCACTTTCAACAGTTGTGTGAAGTCACTTGTTCTGCCATGAGAAGCAGTAAAACTACTCAGTCTCTTAGAACCACCCTTCTCTGCTGGTAACTTCCATCCTTCAGCTGTTACTGACTTATCCTGGTTCCTGCCTCAGTAAAATGACAGAAAAGTTTAAACTAACTTCAGAGTTTTCCCGTGGAAGATATGCTCTTATTGCAGAATTTTTACTGGATCTATAGGAGCTGGTAATTCCTGTGTTGCTTTGACTTTAACAGTTTTAATTTGATATTTCAAGGTATAATAACAATTATTACTAACGTCAGTATTCTAACTTATATGTACCCCTGATGTATACATACAAGTATTGTATATATATGTAAGAATATAGACTTAGAGGTGTCATATCTATATACAGTCTCTATATATGTATTAGAGTATTGATAGAGATAATATCAAATTTCCACATTTGAAATATTTATCCAGGGTCAGTACGTACAGTGCTTTCTTACATACATATTGTTACATGAAATGCAAAAATAGGGTAATCCATGGCTCAAAATACTGAAATTTTGCATTTGATAATATTTTTCATTTAAACTACAGATTGCTTCAAGGAACTTTATATAGGCTAAAATTCTAAAAGTTCATCGTATTAGAAGAATTACAGTCCTCTTTTTTGTTTTGTTCCAATCAGAATAGAAAATGTTCTGTGAACAAGCCTCCTAACTACTGTTTTGATATAGCTCAGCATTTTTCTTTTCTTTTTTCTTTTTAACCAGTATTATACTTTTCTGTAGATATACTAACACATTCTCAGATAATAAAACTGCAAGGGATTAGGAAAAGGAAAACAGTACCTTTTCCATGGCTAGAAGGCCATTAAAATTACCTAAATGACTAATGTAGAAGAATGTTCAAATATTATATATATTCTGAAAAGTGGCAGTAGATGATGAAGTTTTTTCTACAGTTTGAGCTACAAAATGTACTGCCAAGCCTTTTTTTTTTTTTTTTTTTTTTTTTTTTTTTTTTAGAATTGAAAGAAACTAACAGCTGTTTGAATAGGTGATTACTAACATTTATCTCCAGATAGCCAGTTACCAGTCTTCTCAGGAAGCATTGTTAAAATGACAAATAGTGCCCAATCTGTCTTAGTATTTTTAGTGGCCTTTAGTACTGCAGGAAATAAGCTGAGGTCTATAAAGTGAAGATAAGGAAAAATCCAGCTGTTTGCATTCTGTTCATAAACAGCAGGAGGAAGTTCACCCATCCTGAAGGTTTGTTTCTTGCCAGATCAATGCTGTTTTTCAGCTAGGGTAATAAAGTAATGTACATTTTTGGCAAGGAGTCAAGGGTTTGGTTTTCTTTTTTTTCCATTTAGGCATATTTAGTAATAACATTGGACTGCACCTAAATGATCAAATACTAGCTCTTTGCAGAAAACTTAAATCTGGTTACACCTGTTTTCTCTTGGCGAAGCTGCTGTTATTTCATCCAGTTTCCTTCCTCTGAAGTACAGCAGTAGGCTATGTGACATTAAAGAGGGTCAGTTCTCATTTCTGGCTAGCATAGCATTGCAATTTGTTTCATTAGACTTCCCATCTTAGAATCACAGAATCGTTTAGATTGGAAAACACCTTTAAGATCATCCAGTCCAACCATCTTGAAGAGGTTGTGATGCTTTAAAGTCCTGGCCCTGAGGATTCCAACTCTGGTTGGGTTTTCAGTGAATGAACAAATCAGCTGGACCCTGGTCTGTCAAAGATGATCTTCTCTGGAATTCTTTTTTTTTTTTTTTGTAGTACTGGAATAAAACAAAATCCCAGTTTATTGAATTAAAAAAAAAACACCCCAATGTTAGATTTTCTAGAGACAATAAAGAAATGAAATTTGTAAAGAAGATTTGAAAGCCTTATAACTGAAGTCTATTCCTTACACCTTTTTAATTTTTTAATTACAAAATAATTTGATACCAGTAGTTTCAGTTATGGTGTGTTGATGATATGATTTGATCTGATATGACCATGAATAATTGCAATTTTCTTCCTCAGGCTTCACATATTTCTACAAAGGAAAAGAGTACTGGAAATTCAATAACCAGATGCTCAGGGTGGAACCTGGCTATCCCAGATCCATCCTCAAGGATTTTATGGGTTGTGATGGACCAACAGACCGAGATAAAGACCGACACAGCCCTCAAGATGATGTTGACATTGTCATCAAACTGGACAACACAGCCAGCACTGTGAAAGCCATAGCCATCGTCATTCCCTGCATCCTGGCCTTGTGCCTCCTTGTCTTGGTTTACACTGTGTTCCAGTTCAAAAGGAAAGGAACACCCCGCCACATACTGTACTGCAAACGCTCTATGCAAGAGTGGGTGTGATGTAGGGTTTCGGTTTTTTTCTTTCCCTCCCAGGAGTTTGTGGTAACTTGAGATTCAACACAAGAGCTGTTATGCAGTTTCCTAGCTAGGAGCGGGCATCTGTCAGTCTGAAACAAAGCTGATCTTTAAAACCCAGGGGGTTGCCTGTCCTGCGCATGAGTGGCGATTCGCTCAGCTGGGAAGCTTCCATGATACAAAGTATCTGCTGTTTCTTCAGTCCTTTGTCTTTCTTTGTCATTCAATTCTAGGCCTTTCCTCTGCACGCTCAATGCCCTATAAACTATCAGGATTAACTAACGAAGGGGAAAAAAAAAAATCTCCAGTGTTTCTACATTTTTCCCTTAAGGCCTGTTCCCCTTTGAAAAATTTTTTGCTGAAAGTAAATTTTTTTAGAAAAACACAACAACCCACAATGGAACTTTCAGGAAAGTGAGAAGACCCAAAACAGCTTTGTCTCCAAAGAGGATTGCTTTCTGTCTGCTACGGATAAAGTCCTATACTCCTACTTCCAGTTTTGTCAGGTGGGAGATTCGGATGACACGCAGGACTTCAGACTGTTCGGACAGCCATTTTCCAACAAACAAGGGGCCAAAATATCTGCAATATAGTAACAGCCTTAATAATACATTCATTTTGTGTTTTTTACAGCTGCTCTGGGCTATGTCCTCGATGTTTTAAACTCATTTATATTCATTACTATATTCAAGCAGAACCTTTTTATTGGTTTGTTTGATTTTTGGTTGGTTTTCCTGCATAATCTTTCCCAAGCTGTACCAAGCCAACTGCCCCAGGCCTTTCATAGGTCTGTCAGGAGCACTCATTCCAAAGCATGGTAAAAAGCAGTGTGTCTCTGAAGTGGATTTCAGTGAACTAAAGCAACAGTCATGCTATAGAGAAACCTGATGCTGGTATTACATTGGTGGTGTAACCCTTTGAGAACTATTGCATCTGTTTTCAGAGTCTGGTGGATGTTAATCTTGGTTGTCATTAAATTATAGGATTGTGTTTGGGTAATACAGGTTTTAAAAGAAAATCAGTTTTTCAAAACAGATTTCCTGTGACTGCAAGTGAGTGTTTTTAATTATTTGCATTATTGATAGAAAAGCATTTGTAACATAAATAAAATATATTTACCAGCTACTTTCTGGTTAAAGGAACCAAACCTATTTTAATAACTTCTACCACTTACCAAGAATTTTTCTGAACTGGCGACAGTTTTATAGCTTAGCCTTTTATCTTAAGCATCTTGAATTTATCTTTTAAACTATGTTGCATGATAATTCAATTTGCCTCTGCAGAGGTGAAGTTACAGTTTCAAAGGAAAGTTAAAACAATGACTCTGATATTGCATGAGTATCCTCCAGTGTGTTACCCCTTTGCATGTTCACCATAGTTCTCAAAGGGTTAGTCAAATTTCTGGCCTTCAGCAGAACATGATATCACTGACAGAGCCAAGGGACCACCAAAGCATTTTGTCATTCTGTGTAATTTGTGCTAACAGCAGTATTGTCATTTTCATGTGACCTGCAGAGCAGGTTTGTATCAATATTTTTTTCCTAGAGAAAAGTCAGCAACTGACAGACCTCTTTATTGATTTTAGGAGCTGCTTCTTGCAGTGATAGGCTTTACAGTCACTGGGCTGTGAACTTATTAAAGATGGTCAGAATGATGCACCCCAAAAGTCAGACACCTGGTTTTTTATGAAAGCCAGGATTTGAGGGGAGTAGCTTTTGCAACAATGAACAGCTTGCCTTGAACTTGATTATTGACCTGTTGACTGTCATTACCAAGTTAAACATTGTCTTCTGTGAACAGCTTCACTGTCTGAATTTCCTTAAAGTGTACTGTCCTATGTCTTTGATCTTTGACCTTTAACTTGCAAACTGGCACAAACTGAAGGGAATCTGGTGTTGCAAATGAACTAAGACAAGTTTTGTTTCTTGAAAGGCCTGATATACATCATCCAAAATTCAAGAAAAAAACACTGAAGTGTTTTCATAGAAAAGAACTGACATAAACTAAAATATTTATGATAAATCTGTAGAAGGGTATTTTGCTATGTATACATGCACACTCTAAAAATGAACTACAGTAGAAGTTAATTTTTATTTAACTTGAATAAAATTTTCAGTATAAAATTATCATTTCTACAAATAGCTAGTTATTAATGAAAAGGTTATAGCAAAGTATTAAAATACTTGAAATGGCCAGTATTGGCTTTTACATAAAATGAGACTTTTATACTACGTTCAACCAATTTCTTACTGGTTTCTTAATCCATATATAACTGGATCACTTTTTAGAGAGTGTAGGTATATATACATATATGTTATGGTTATTATTATTTTGGTAATGGATAGCTTGACTGCCTTGAATTTATATTTATATTGAGCATAGCATGAAAAATAGTATGCCTTTTTGTTCAATTACATGATTTTATATTGATTTGAGGACTTATTTTATGAACATATGTGGCATGCTATAAAGCATTGCGAACTTATTTCTTAGAGCATAAACAAATATGCATATGTATGGCTAACAAAAATGAAGATTAGAAAAAGGTATAGTTTTACAACAAATATGCAATGCAGATGGCATTTTGGAGATGTTTTTTAGAGGTACTGCATACTGTAGGTTAGAAGTGCACCAGTATCAGCCCATAGCATTATTTAGTAAATCCAATTCAGTTGTTGCTGAAAATATAGATTAATTGACAGTTAAGTAACATAGGATATTTACTGCACATCAGCTCATTTGGTGAATTCAGAATTCCATGCCTGTTTGTCATATATATTAAAATGTGTGTGTGTGTTTGTGTACTTATAAATGCGCACACACACATACACATACATGCATATTTTAATCGATGGAGAGATTTTTATTGTCAACAAACTACTATAACTTATGTTCTGCTACAGACAGAACGAAATGATTCATGTTGCTGTTCCAATTTTGTCCCTTGGGTAGCCGGTGGAAAATACTAACAGCACTACTTCTTCTGCATTTGGTTTTCCTCTACAATAGGAGAACTTATTTTATAACCTCTTTAAGTCAGAACAGCATCTCATCTGGGTTTTTATTCTCTTGAAAATTTCACTTCAATTTTGAAATATCTTTCATGGCAGCTTTAACTTTTTGTGCAACTGTTTCCCTGACAGTAATGAAGTGCTGAGCATGTTGACTGTTGTTCTTTGATAAGGTAATAAAAATGTTTGTATTTGGAGAATTTAACTTTAATTATGCAGGAAGGTAAGTGTGATAAGTCTAGTGCTTGGTATATGGTACATCATAGATACATGAATACATGATAAGTTGATTGTTTAATCTATTTTCTGTTACTTAAAAGTGCATATATATTATATACAGAGAGAGGGAGAAAAAATATTATATTGGCATGTTTATGTCATGAAGAGCAAGACTGTGTCAACATTTCTATTACATACTCCTATTTTCAGTAGGTTATAACACAGTCATAAAGGTTTGCTTTAAGTAAAAGATGTAGGAGCAATTGTGTTCACTGTAATTCCCAAATACATACTGGCTAGTTTCAAATTGTAGAAGTTCAGAGTAAATTAGTGATGTTGCCTGATCTAGTTTTGAACTCAAATGAGTAAAAGTTCTAAGACAATCTTATTTTTTGAACAGTTGTTTTTCTACCAGGGCCTATAATTATGAGAATTAAGAAAAAACAAATTGAAAATATTTTCAGTTCTGCAATCTGGGTTCCTGCTCATGTGCCGTAACTTTTTTCATAAAGTTTTTAATAAACATTTCCATATTGCCATTGTCATGATCTGTACTGTGGAACAAAACAAAACTGAATATGCATTGTGTTACCAGTTACAGTCTATCAAGATGACTATACAGGGTTGTGTATCTTCAGAGTACTATGGTCTGTATGATGCAGGAGGCCAGAGAAGGTGATGACAGTGTTTCCTCTGGCCTTTTAATGTATGAAACTATGAAAAGGTTATTGTCTGTAGACACAAATTAATTTTTATCAAAAAATACATTTAAAAAACCATGTAACTGTATATTTACTGGATAGGCTGGGATGGAGAGACTTAAATGGCTCCAAAGGAGCCCTTTCAAGTCTCCTGAATAAATGTAATACATATTTTATATCTTCCTATGAACTTTTTTTCTTTTTCTTCTTTCAAAGTGGGGCAAAGGGAGGGGATAATTAAAGAAAAAGATTTTTTTAAGGCTAATTTTGCAAATGAAAATAACAGAAGCTAATAGATTCAAATGTAAGAGGCAGACTTACACTTTTTCTTAGAAGTGTACTTCACCTCCCCAGTTGTTTGGTCAAGACTCCTGTGCCATTAGCACTGTGGGTTAAGAACAGAATGTAAGGCTTAGTTTTTCAATTTTCAACTTTTTGGGGGGTTTTACTTCACAATCTTAATGTCAGTTAAATGTAGCTTTTGGTACCAAATTATATAGAACCAAATTCTAGCTTGTTGGTTAGAAAAAAGTGCGTAGAATAGAAAGTAGGTCTGCCTATAAGCAATGGAAGCATTACATTCCTATTCTAGTTTTTTGCATTTGAACCATCACTAGGGCAAACTTTAAAAAAGACACATAGCAAACTGAAGAGTGAATGTTCCAGGCACTGCATTTTTGAGAAAGTAGAAATGAAAGCTACCACACCATTAGCAGCCTAAATTGGAGATAGCTCAAGGTGACTGGGCTGACGACCAAGGGTATGACTACAGGGGCTTGCTCTGTCCTGGCCTCCATATCTTCTCAGAACATAGCCTAAGTTTTATCACCAATTGCAGAGGTGGAGGAAGCTGTGTACCATGGCAGTAGGAGATGTGAAGCAGCCATTACAGAACAATAGCTCCTTGTCACCTTTTGTTGTTGTCAAGACTGTCTTTGGACAGCTCTATTTCCAGAAGCATAAATAATGACTGCAGCCCTATGAGCCATAAGGAAAATCATTATTATCAGTGGAGGGAACAAATGTCACTGGCCACTTAGCCAGTTCAGCTAAGCTGTAAATCAAATAATATTGTCTGGGAACTGAGGAACAGATAACCTGTTATTGAATACAATGGTATAGCTATGACTGATACACCAGCACTGTAACGTTAGGCGTACTTCCTTAGCTCATGGCACACAGACTGCAGACAGAGTGGTTCACATAGGATAAGACCATTTAAACATATGTCAGTTACAAAATTAGGTGTAAATGAACCATATACTCATAAAATTAATCTCTGATTTATGCATATAAATCAATGAATTGTCTGCCACTGGTCTCATGAAAAAAATGTAATGTGTGAGTCAAGTCTGTCTAACCCATTCTTGCGACTTGCCATCTGAGGTGTCAGAGGCTGATAGAGAAAGACATTGTCATCAGTGCCATTGATGCTGAAAATGTCTGGTAAGCATCAAAAACATACCATCACTTGTTGCAGATTGGCTCCATTTGATGCTTGATCTAAGGTAGCTTCTAATGTTAGGCAACAGAGCTTCTGTATGGTGTGGCATTATTTCATGTATGTATGTAACTAGGAAGGCCCAGTGATAATCAGGAGATCACATTTTGAAGGATCATCAGTATGTGACCACAGGAAACATCTGTTCCTAAAATGAGAATATATTTTAAAGAAGCGTGTAGACAGCATTAAACACATGCATCATAAACAGGTCTTGTTCCCCAGTATACATAAGCTTTAGCATATCGGCTACAAATTATAGTCAGTTTATTAACATTTGCAGTTGCAGCTGCCCATTATGTCTTTGAGTTACAACATTCTGTGAGAGGTGTACATAAAGTATGTTTGCCCTGTGGAGATAACCTTAGGTATTGCTCTGGTCTGCCCACAGTATAGATGAAATAAATTTTAGTGGCAGAAGAGTCATAAATGAAGAAATGCTGATGTGAATGAGCATGGTAAAGACAATTTTCTAAACTTGGATGTGCATGCAGCATAGTGCTACTTGCTGTCACAGTAAAACTATGTAAACAACAATCATTACATATGCCACCCATTTATGATGGCACAAGGCTTTCCAGTCACACAGCTTAGTTTCTTTTGCTTCTGTAGAATGACATTGTCTACAGATGATAATTATAATAGCCACCACATAAACCAAAATTTTCTGTTTAGTTAATGGTAATTTCTACCCTATGAAATTACATCACGTCCTTTTTATAACTACAACCTTAATCGCCTTGGCGAGCTACTGGCATATCTTAATTCATAGTTTTTCATGCCCATTAGTTTTTTTGTTGTTGCAGTAAAATATATACTGAGCATTCTCTCCATCTTGCCATCTGGCACTAACATGTGAAATAATCACCTTCATTCTGTGCCATGCATGTGTCCTAGATCATCCATTTGCCCATCCATCATTCTGGGAACTGGCTTTCTGGGAAGTGGGATTAGCAACAGAAGACTGGGATAAAATACCTTCTAAAGTACCTGGTTAGACCTTAACAACATGACAATGGAATTTGAAGAGTTTTTAGTGAAGTATTATATTACTTACCCACCGGCAACAGAACAATGTAACTCTGCCAATCAGTGCATGTCCAGATGGGTTCACCACTTGCAAAGCAAAGTGTGTTAAGTCAGAAAGCAATGTTTCCAATCCGTATTTCCATCCTGATGTGTTGGCATAGTTTAACATCCAGCCTACACACATATATAACTTACATGGCTGTACATAAAATCAACTGCCTTATGGAAGCTGAGTGCTTGAGGTCAGCAGGCAATCAGTCCTAACTCATTTATCAGGTGTAAACAAATTTTAGTTCCCTTACTATCATTTTACAACCTCCAAGAAAAGAAAGTAGGTTTTTCCATAATGTAAAATGATGGTTTATAATACTTTTTGTCGGTGTTCGCAATTACATGATATTATATGTAACTCAAAAAGTACTACTGTACAACTGATATATTCCAGTTGAAATGCACAGCCCCATATTTAGGCATACAATGACTCTAAACAGAGATGCACATACTGTGTATGCTATGCTTGGCTATTGCCACAAAACTGTCAGTGCTCACATACTGATCATCTCCATATCTTACGGGAGCACCATGGTGAAGGCAGCTCCAAGCACATTGTCTGCTTGGATATAAGTAGAGTCATAGAAGTTAGGAAATGGTACATGTGATGGTATGTATTCAGTGCTGTCTTAAATGATCATGACAGCCACAATTCATACCTGCAAGGCATAGCAGTGGCTTGTATTTACATGGTTGTGTTTTACTTCGTATGATAAAGTGCTATGAACTCTGGCCATGCATCACAAGGTGGATGAAAACTATTAAAAAAATCTTTCAGGATAGCCATTGTCAATACTCACACAGCTCACAGAAATACCTGAGGTTGTTATACCCAAGAAAATTTAATCTTGAATAGGAATCCAGGAAAGAAGGAATGTGTGATGATGCAAATAATCTATTCCCATTTCTTACTCTATGTAATTTATTTGGTAAAACATTGTCAAGTAAGTACATGCCTAACATCCATCTTTACTGTGTTTCCAAAACCATGCAGACATCTCTTGTCAATTCATGCACAGTACTGTCTTACTGTGTGTGGTTGAAAACTGTTTTACAGGATAGATCAAGTATTATGATCCTCCCTTCTCATCATCCAAGATACACAGGTCATCATCTGCTTTCAATATGCATTCCTTTGAAGGTGGTAATCCTTGGATCACGGTGATGACAAATACAGATGACAAATACACCCTACTGAAATCTTTCTCAGAGGAAACTTGAATTAGTCATGAACTTTCCACAAATTCTAGGATCCAGAGGAAAGCCAACTAGGTCTTTTGGTCAAAGACTGCAGACAGACACACAAAAAGCAGCATAAGCACATTTCCATTTTTCATTTCCAGAAGAATATAAGAAAAGGAATGAGAACATTTTGGTTTATAATTGCAAGTACAAAACCAGTTTGTCAAAAAGGGAAGGAGACAAGGACCACTGAAACCACTGAAATTGCATGTAACTGCTATGTAATCAGCAATAAAAGATAAGAGATATTATCAGGAAGTTGGTGATAGCTTTGAAAGTATTATTGGTCTCTAACAACTAGGATACCTGTTAGGCTTGTAGAAAGTCCACTGAATTCTGTATTTGGTGTCATAACCCACCAGAGAGCAGTCTGTCAAAAGGCTCCTCAGTATAGTTAATCTAAACCTGATTACAAATATATAGAGAAAGCACACTATTTATCTGCTGCAATAAAAAATCTTTTGAGAGAGATTTAGTCAAACTAACATCAGTCTGAATCTATGTGCAAAAACTTGCCATAGTGAAATGTTCTTATGTTTGTTTTCAGAAATTAGATCCAAAAAGTTATCCATCATTTGAAAAATTCCACTGGATGTAATACTGAAGGACAAAAGAAGCCTTTACCTCTATTAGTCTATATTACAGCCATGTATCTTTATCTCCATGATATTTCACTCCTGAAGTGTTTGATATAATAGAAATACATTTATGACATTTGGATGGATCATTTATTGCTATTTCTTTATGTAAGCTGATAAATATTATCAAACTTCTGATTCCCCTCCACTCCCTTTTTTCACTGTGCCCTGACATGTTTCCTGACTAATTAAGGCAATACTTAATGTTATCTGATCTTGGTAAACAAGTGAGAAATTACCTGTTCACTATACAGAGAAAAGAAGAAAATACAATTTTGTTGTTCATCTCATTTAATCACACACAACCTTTTACAGTCTGTCACTAGGAAATGCAGCTTTTTGTGTCTACCATGAAGAGGCAGGACCTTCTCAA